TGTGGCTTCTTAGGCCAGTCCATGGTGTCATCAATATTCTTTGCCAATTTGGAGACACTGATTCTTATGTTTTGTACAATTTTTGCATGAACATGAAGCAGTAGAAAATACCATAGGTACGATTTTTCTTTGGTAAATAACTAGGTCTGTGATTGCTTGACCAGAGTCGCTCGCTTGTATCATAAGAAACTGCACACAGTTGCATTATTCATCTTTCCACCAATGTGGGGAAACCCCAAAAGGCCATCAACAAGACAATGGGAATACAAATGATGAGATGTCTTTATAATGGGATATTATTATCATCAAAAATAGTGACACACTGGTACAAGGAGGAGCCATGAAAGCATCATGCTAAGTGAAAGAAACCAGTCTTAACATCCCATTTTTGTATCTGGTTTTGTGGTATGATCCAGTTTACCTGAAATGCCCTTTTTCAAAAATGTGTCCAGCAAGCGAAAACGACTTGGGTAGGATCACCTTCCCCATCAACGAAGCAGCAGCAGCAGCAAGAGAATGTAACACATCGTTTGAGTCCCGAAATTCTTGCTGCAGCTGCAGCTGCACCTACAGCAGCACAGCCATGCCTATCCAGAGAGGCAGCATGAGATACAGTTACTTTAGGACTGCTGCCCCAGTCAGCAGAGCTAAGCTCAGAGCCTTGGCCCGTGTGTGTTGAACATCACGGGGTGGGGGTGGGGGGACGGTGAAAGCCATCATTGGCAGGACTGAGGACTTTGTAAACACTGGCTTTAACCCACAAGGCTCAAGGCTGGGGTGCCTGCGAGCACATTTCAGAAGCTTGTCCTGACTGAATTCTGCTATAATCTGGATTATAATCTTTTAATAATCCTCCAAAACACATAAATTTAGATATTCTCAGCAACATAGTTTGTACTGCAAATCAAACTGGAAGGAACAGTAATGTAAACACTTAATGAGTACATTTGATAAATTTATGCCAGGATGCACCAGTCCTTGGAGAGAGACATCATGCTTGGAAGGTGGAGGGTCGGCACAGGAGACAAAGACTCCAGACGGAGTGGATTGACTCAGTGACTAGAGTTACAGGTGTAAGTGTGTTGAGACAATGAGGTTGGCTCAGGACAGAGCAGGGTATAGAGCTGTCGTGTACATAGGGTCACTATCAATCACAGGCAACTCGAAGGCATATAACAACAACATATAATGGTATACTGCCATTTAAAAATGAATGGCTGATGTGAACCAGCCTGTATAAATCCCAGTAATGTTACAAGAAAAAAAAAATTACAGAATAGATCCACAGCGGTAAATAGTGTGAGCTTGAGAATGTTCCTTGCCAGTGACTCGGTTCCAACTCCTGGCTGCCTTGCAAAGACCACAGCAAAGCACTGTCCAGCGTGAACCTCGCCAGGATCCTCAGTAGAGTCTGCTGTTGAGTGCCTTTGGGATTGTAGTGCAGCTTCTAGGCCACTAGGCCATCAGAGCTCCCTATTACTAGTCCAATGGTGGAAAACATTACATGCTTGACAGCTAACCCCAAAGAAAGGTTGATGATTCAAACTCAGAACCAACTCATAGCTGACCTCCAGCAGGTTTTCAGAGATAGTAAATCACACAGGAGGAAACTGGCCATCCTTCTTCCATAGGATGGCTTGTGGATTCAAACTGCTTAGTGGATTGCCAAAGCAACTCCTTACCCGCTAGGCCACCAAAGCTCCCTTGTAAAGATTACAGCCTGGAAAATTTCATGTGGTCAGCTCTCTGCTCCTCGTCGATCGATAGTCCTCTCTTCTCATGCAGCCTCAGTTGCGACCCTGAGACACCATGGTGAAGATCGGAAAAAACTGATCTGGCCGCACTGGACACCTGGTCACCAGGGCGTCTTTACCTCTGGCAAAGTGAATGTTGCCATCAATGACCCCGTCATTGACCTCAACTCCAAGGTCTATGTAACAGAGTCACTGTATCAGAAAGAATTCATTGACACTGAAAAATTTCAGGAAGTACCATATAAATGGGAGCCAATGGTAATGAAGGAGAAAGTAGAAGCTGCATTGAAGACATTGGCAAAAAATAAGGCTCCAGGAATCAATGGGATACCCATTGACGTATTTCAATTAACAGATGCTGCCCTGGATACACTCACCAGTCTATGCCAGGGAATTTGGAGGATGGCTATCTGGCCAACGGATTGGAAGAGGTTCATATTCCCATTCTCAAGGGTGATCCAACTGAAAGTGGAAATTATCTCACAAAATCATTGATGTCACATGCAAGTAAAATACTGCTGAAGATCCTTCAAAACAGCTGGAACAGTACATGCATAGGGAATTGCCAGAAGTTCAAGTGGGATTTGGAAGAGGTCAAGGCACCAGGGATATCACTGCTGATGTCAGATGGATGGATTCTGGCTGAAAGTAAGGAATATCAGAAGAATGTCTATTTATGCTTTATTGATTATGAAAAGGCGTTTGCCTGTGTGGATCATGACAAGCTGTGGCTGACATTGAGGAGAATGGGAATTCCAGAGCACTTGACTGTGCTCATGAGGAACCTGTACCTGGAGCAGGAGGCTGTTGTGTGAACAAAGCAGGGGAGCACTGCATGGTTTGGAATTAGGAAGAGAATGAGTCAGAGATGCATTCTGTCACCACACCTGTTCAGTCTATATGCTGAGCAAATTATCCAAGAAGATTCTATTGATTCTATGAAGAGGAATGTGGCATCAGGATTGGAGAGAGACCTGCATTATGCAGATGACACAACCTTCTGAAAGTGAGGAGGATTTGAAGCACATGTTGCAGAAGATCAAGGAATGCAGCCTTCAGTATGAATTGCATCTCAATATCAAGAAAACAAAGATTCTTACCATTGGACCAATAGGCAGTGTCATGATGGCTGGAGAAGAGATTGAAACTGTCAACAGCGTCATCTTGCTTGGATCCACAACTAACACCCTTGGTATGAGCAGTCAGGAAATAAGACAACACATTGCACTGAGAAAATCTGCTGTTAGGGACTTTTCCAAATTATTGAGGAGTAGTGATGTCAGCCTGAGGACTAAGGTGTGTCTGCTTCAGGGAATAGTCTTTCTGATTATTAGCTATGAATCTGAGACCCGGACAATGAATAAGGATGACAGGAAAAGAATTGACACCTTTGAGCTGTGGTGGTGGTGAAGAGCACTGAACATCCCACGGATGACCAAGAGAACGGAACAGATGTGTCTTGGAGAGGGTGCAGCCAGAGTGCTCTTTGGAGGCAAGAATGATGAGGCTTTGTCTCATTTGGACATACTGCTGGGAGGTGCTATTCCTTGGATATTGGAAAGGGTGGAGGGTTGGCAAAGGAGAGGAAGACCCTCAGCCAGGTGCACTGACACAGTGACTGCTGCATTGGGCTCATGTGTCAGGAAGTGTGAGGCTGGCACAGGACAGGACTAGAGTCAGATCTTTTGTTCATAGGGACGCCATGAGCCATATTCTACTTGATGGCACTTAACAACAACATGTATGTTCCCCTGGCACTGTCAAGGCTGAGAATGGGAAGCTTGTCATCAACGGGAAAGCCATCACTGTCTTCCAGGAGCGAGATCCCACCAACATCCAGTGGGGTGATGTTGTATGAGTATGTTGTGGAGTCTACTGGTGTCTCACAACCTTGGAAAACACTGGGGCTCACTTGAAGGGGGTGCCAAATGGGTCATCATCTCTGCTCCTTCTGCCAATACCCCCATGTTTATGATGGGTGTCAACAATGAGAAGTATAACAACTCTTGAGATTTTCAGAAATGCCTCCTCTACCACCAACTGGTTGGCCCCCCGGGCAAGGTCATCCATGACAACTTTGGCATCGTTGAGGGACTCATGACCACAGTCCATGCCATCACTGCCACCCAGAAGACTGTGGGTGGCCCCTCTGGAAAGCTGTGGCTTGATGGCCGTGGAGCTGCCCAGAACATCATCCCTGCATCTACTGGCACTGCCAAGGCCGTGGACAAGGCCATCCCTGTGCTGAATGGGAAACTTACTAGCATGTCTTTCCATGTCCCCACACCCAGTGTGTCAGTTGTGGCTCTGACCTGTGGTCTGGACATATGATGACATTAAGAGAGTAGTAAAGCAAGGCCCCTCAAGGGCATCCTGGGATACACTGAAGACCAGGTTGTCTCCTGTGACTTTAACAATGACACCCACACTTTCACCTTTGATGCTGAGGCTGGCATTGCCCCGAACGACCACTTTGTCAAACTCATTTCCTGGTATGACAATGAATTTGGCTACAGCAACCAGGTGGTCTACCTGATGGTTCACATGGCCTCCAAAGAATAAAAGCCCCTTAGACCACCAGCCCCAGGAATAGCACTAGAAGAGAGAGAGACCCTCAGCTGCTGGGTAGTCCTTGCCCCAACTCGATTCCCACACACAGAATCTCACATCCTTGACAGTTTCTTTCCAGTCCCCCCAGAAGGGGACTGGCTTAGCCTGTCTTTTCATATACCATCAATAAAGTCACTATTCAGAAAAAAAGGGAAAAAAAAAGTCCATGTTGTCATTAAGTGCTGTTGAGTTGATCTGGACTCAGAGGGACCCCATGGGTAACAGATCAAAACTTTGCCCAAAAGAAAATTTCCATGGGGCAGTTCAGTTCTGTCACATGGAGTATGGGCATCAGAAACAACTTGAAAGCACCTAACAGCAACAGGAAGCTGGGGCCAGTGGGGGAAGGGCAGTGCACACAGAACCAGGTGGGCTGACCACAGACCCCAGTGGCCAGTGAGGGAGGCTGTCAGACCTGGCCCTCCTCCCTGAGGCCGGAGGCCTGGAAATGCAGCTGCTGCTCCTCCCCGCCCTCCTTCACCTCAGCCCCAGGAAGCCCCAGCCTGCCAGGCTGTGACAATGCCTTCCTTTCAGCCCTGTCCCCGCTGCCAGCCTGTGGGCTGAGGAGGGGGGCTCCAGAGGGCCGCTCAGCTTTCTCTTGTGCTGTGCCTCGGGCAGGGCTGGCAGGACCGTACCATGGAGGGGTGAGTGTGGGGGTCCTGGAGACAGAAGGGGTGCTGGGAGTGGTGGAGTGGTCACGGTGAGACCCTGCCCTCAATGGGATCTTAAGAGGCTGGGAGGACAGGGCTCTAGCCCTGCCTGGGCCAGAGCATCTCTGCAGTCCCCCTGCTGGCTTTCCGAGGAGGGCCTTCCTGCAGAACAGTCCTCTGGGCGGTTGTCAGAGAACTCAGGAGTCTGAGCCCTTTTAGGCTCTACCTCCCTGGCTATCCTGAGCCCCAGCCTCCACCATGGGCTCTGGAGAAGGTCATCCAAGACCCGGGACCATGGGGCCCAAAGGACACACAGAAACAAACGACAGCCTAGTGAGTGCAGATGAAGGCTGCTTGAGAAGTTGACATCCAGTCCAGGACCAGGAAGGGGCCTCAGAGTTAAGAGCAGAGTTAAAGGATGCAGGTCGACAAGAGGAGGTAGTGCCGTCAAAGCTGTGTATACGGCGGAGGGGGGAGCTTGGTGACGCCATAGAACTCCAATCAGACAAAGAATCTAGATTTTTTTTCCCCACCGAAGGCAGTCAGGGGACGCTGGAGGATTTTTAATTGAGGGTGTCAGTGTCCTATTTGTGTTTCAGAAAGGTCTTTTTGACTGATGGGTAGTAGGCAGAGCACAGGGAAAGCCAGGAGAGCTGTGGTGGCAGTGAGCACCCTCTTAGAAGCAATGGGAAGGGGCTGTGGTGAAATGGGGGGTGGGTGCGTGAGTGGACAGACAGTTGGATGAATGGGTAGATTGCTGGACTGATGGCTAGAGTTACAGGTGGGCAGGGAGATGGATGTATGGAAGGATAGATGGATGAATGGGTGGAGATATGTACAGAAGGATGAATGGATGGAGATATGGATCAATGGATGGATGGATAGGTGGATGAATGGGTGGAGATATGATGTACAGAAGGATGAATGGATGGATAGGTGGATCAATGGATGGATGGGTAGACAGGGAGAGATGGCTGGATGGCTGAATGAAAAGTGGATGTATAAATTAGTGGGTGGAGGGATAGGTGACTAGGTGAACAGATGGATGAAAGGGAGGATGGCTGGATGAAGAGACAATGGCAGGTTGGATGAACAGAGAATGGCAGGCTGGATGAGTTAGTGTCTGGATAAGTTGGTATATGGATAGATGAGTAGATGGTTGGATGAGTGGGTGGAGAGATGAAAGGGTGGATGGATGAGTGAGTTGTTAGGTGCCCTTGAGTATGACCCATAGGAACACTATGAAGAACAGATCTTAACCATCTCCTATCCTGTGCCATCCTCACAATCTCTGACAAACTCTAGCTCATTGCTGCAGTCACTGTCTCAATACATTGGGTTGAGGGTCTTCCTCTCTTTCACTGGCCCTCCACCTTTCCAAGAATGTTAACCCTTCTTCAATGAATAATCTCTCTGAGCAATATGTTGTAAGTATGTGAGATGATGTCAGTCTGGAGACTAAGGTGTGCCTGATACAGGCCATGGTCTTTGCAATCACTTGTTATATGCACCAGAGAGCTGGACAATAAATAAAGATGATGGATAATTTGGAGGCAAGAATGATGAGGCTTCGCCTCATTTGGACATACTGTTGGAAGGTGCTATTCCTTGGAGATGGACATGATGTTGGGAAGGGTGAAGGGTCAGCGAAGGAGAGGAAGACCCTCAGCCAGGTGCATTGACATGGTGACTGCTGCAATGGGCTCTTATGTGTCAGGAAGTGTGAGGATGGCACAGGACAGGACTGGGTTTAAGTCTTTTGTTCATAGGGTTGGTATGAGTCATACTCAACTCGATGGCACCTAACAACAATCTATGAGATGAAGCTTTATCATCTTTGCCTCCAAGGAACACTCTGCACCTTCTCCAAGATATACCTGTCTGTTCTTTTGGTAGTCCATGGGATATTACTCTTCTCCAACACCACAACTCAAAGATATCAATTCTGTCATCCTTACTCATTGTCCAGCTCTCAGACATATAATTGAAAAGACCATGGCCTGAGTCAGGCACACCTTAGTCCTCAAAATTACATCACTGCTCCTCAGTAATTTTGAGAGGGTCCTGACTGCAGACTTTCCAGTGCAATACCCAGTCTCTCGACTGCTGCTACCAAATGTATTGACTGTGGATCCAAGATAGATGAAGTTGTTGAGTTTCAATCTTTCCCCCATCTATCATGATGTTGCCCATTAGTCCAGTGGTGAGGGTTTATTTCTTGATGTTGAGATGCAGTCCATATTGAAAGCCATAGTCTTTGATCTTCTGCAGTAAGTGCTTTAAATTCTCCACACTTTCAGCAAGCAAATTTGTGTCATCTGCATGGTGAAGATTACTGATGAGTCTTCCTCTAATTCTGATGCCCTGTTCCTCATCACAGAGCTTCTCAAATAATTTGCTCAGCATACAGATTGAATAGATACAGAGAAAGGATACAACCTCGATGCACATCCTTCTTAATTTTAAATCATGTAGTGGGCCAACTGGCAGCATCATGATAGATTGTAAAGAGATTGAGATTGTTAACAGCTTTACATTGTTTGGCTCCGCAATCGACATTCTTGGTACCAGCATCAGGACCCAAGAGATGATTTGCATTGGTAAAGTCTGCTGTCAGGGACCTCTCTAGAGTACTGAAGAGCAATGATCTAAGTCTGGAGACTAAGGTGCACCTGATTCAGGCCATAGTCTTTGCAATTTCTTGCTATGCATCAGAGAGCTGAACGACTATGGATGATGGAAAGAGAATTGATGCCTTTGAGCTGTGGTGCTGGAGAATAGTGTAGAATATACACCATGGACTGCCACAAGAACAAACAGGTTCATCCTGGAGAGGGTGAAACTGCGCTGCTCCTTAGAGATAAGGATTCTGAGGCTTCACCAGACATACTTTGGACATGTTGCAAGGAGGGACCAGTAGTTGGGGAGGGACATCACACTTGGGAGGATGGAGGGATAGAGAAAAAGAGGAAGACCATTAATGAGATAGATTGATTCAGTGACTAGGGTAATGAGGGTTAGTGTGTCAGAGACAGTAAAGTTGGCACAGGATAGAGCAGGTTTCAGGGCTATTGTACACAACAGCAACAACAAGTGTTCCCTTGTCTGTTCGCACAAGGGCTCTCGGGTGGATGCTGCTGTGTCAGCACATGGGAGCCCAGGTTCGAACTCGAAATAAACCTTGTTAATTCGGAAAAAAAAATCACAAAGAGACGTTCTGGTATTCTTTGGTTTCGGCCAGGATCTGACATCAACAACAGCCCCGGTGCCATGATCTCTTCTATTTTCAGCTTGAATTTATGGCAATTTTCTACGTACTGTTCCAGCCATTTTTAAACTATCTTCAGTAGCACTTTGTTTGCATGGGATATTGTTTGATAATTTCCACAGTCTGTTGGATCACGTTTCTTGGGAATGGGAACAAATATGGATCTCTTCCAGTAGGTCAGACAGGTAGCTGTCTTCCAAATTTCCTGGTGCAGACTGGTGAGCACATCCTGGGCTACATCTGTTATTTGAAATATACGAGTCAATATCCTATGGATTCCTGGGACCTTCACTTTTTCTCCAATGCCTTCAGTGCAGCTTGAACTTCCTTCTGTTACCATTGGTTCTTGGCTATATGGTATTTCCTGAAATATTTTGGTTTTGGCCAATTCTTTTTGACACAGTGACTCTGTGTATTCCCTCTATCTTCTTTTAATGCTTCCTGGGTCATTCAAGATTTCGCCTGTGGCATCTTTAAGTATTGCAACTCAATACTTAAATTTGCTTTTCTGTTCTTTCAGCTTGGGAAATGCTGAGCAAGCTCTTTTTTATTTTCCAGGTATAGCTTTCTGCAGTCTAATACCTCTGTGTTCTCAAGCTACCCTTTGAAATCTTCTGTTAGCTTTTTTATTTAGACAGGTCTTCCCTTTGGCTTCTCAGTACTCTACTGCAATTTTCACTGTCTCTTCTGACATTTACTTTTGCTTTTTCTTTCTCCTCTTTGTAGTGACTTTTTCTCTCTTCATGGATGATAACCTTGGTCTATGAAAAATCTTCCATTTCCTCTTCTTCAACTTTAGCTGTTGTGCATATATTTAATGTACTAACAGGTCCTCCTTGTGTGCATATGGATAATATTCATTATTCACAATATTGTACTTCAGGATAGAACTTGACATTGTTTTTTTAACATTGAATGCAACACCATTTCCCCTTTTGTTTTTCATTCTCTGCATAGTGTATCATGTGATTGTCTCATTTGAAGTGGCCAAAACTAGTCCGTCTCACCTTGCTAATGCCTAGAATGTTGATGTTCATGTGTTCCATTTCATTCTTAATGACTTGTAGTTTTCCAACATTCATGCTTGTACGAGTTCATGTTCTAATTCTCCAGGATTCATGGAATGTACAAAGTATGAATGAGGAGTGGGTGGACTGATGGATGGATGAGTGGATGGAGGGATGGGTGGATTGAAGGATAGGTGAGTAGATGAATGGGAGGATGGATGGATGGCTAGAGAGAAGGTGGTGTATGAATAGATAGAAGGATTATCCCAAAGTCCAGCCTAACCCCTTTATCTTAGATTCCTCTATCCCAAGCCAGGCCACTTAGATGCTACTAAGATAAAGGAAGAGATGAGGCCTGAGCCACCCGGTTACCTTGTCAGTGTTGCATTGACCAGTCATTAAGTTCAGGGACTTCAGGCTCCCCAACCCCTGTCCCTTAGACTGGTCTCCAGACTGGCCTGTGTCCTCCTTTCTCTTCTTACTTCTTGCCAGGCTGTCTTAAGGTGCTCCCAGCCCCAGGGAAGCTCTGTCTGCATCTGTCTGGAGAGGGCTATCTCTCTCCACCAACTTCACACTGGGGTCCCAGGACCAGGACCCTCCTCACAGCTGTGGGGCATACTCCAAGCCTTGCAACACCCCACAGTCAGCACATTCTCACTAAGCCACTTGGCAGACAGCTGAGCCTCAGTTTCTTCAAATGTAATATGTGGCTACAGAACCACCACGTTAGGGGCTAATGATGGGACTTCTCTGGCCCAAAGAGAGGCATCTGAGTGACTCCGAGGACAGCAGCACTGTGTCTGAGTGGACAGTTGGCCCTCTCTCCTCTCCAAGGCCCCAGAGTCCCACCCTCTTTTCCTTGGTGATGTTGTTTCCACTGCTGCTGTCTCCGTGGCACACAGCCGCCCAGCGCTGCCCATGGATCTGCACCTGCGACAACTCCAGGTGGCATGTTGCCTGCCGGGACCAGAACCTCACAGAAGTGCCAGACACCATCCCCGAGGTCAGGGGTCTGGGGCAGCAGTTAGGGGCTGACAGAGCTTGGGCTGGGCATTGATGATGGCGAGACTTTCTATTAATCTCTCAACTAATATAGTTCTATTTGTAAAATGGGTACTAAAAATGGCCAGTAAGAGAATTTTTTTAAAAATCCTTACCAAGTGACTGGCATAATAATTTGGTGACCTATTGATAATGAATTAATTACAGGTAACTGGGGACAGACCAGGGTGAGGAATGGTTCTGGCCTATAGAGTAATGGTGGTGGTTGTCAGGTGTCACAGAGTCAAGCATGACTCATAGTGACCCGATGGACCACAGATCTGAACCCTGTCCCATCCTCTGTCATCCTCATCATCTTTGATAAACTTGACCCCACTGCTGCAGCCACTGGGTCAGTGCATCTCGTTGAGGGTCCTTCGCTGGCAGAGACAATCCATGTGTGTGGCCCACGGTGGGGAAAGCCCAGGTGGCTGGGAGAAAGGGAGGCGGGCTTCCTGGAGGAGGTGATAGGAGGTGGAGGGGACAGTGTTCAGGTGAGGATGTGCAAAGGCCTGGGGTTAGGGAGGGGCGGTCAGCTAGCAGCTCAGCTTCCCTTGGCCCTCTGCCCTGCAGCTGACCCAGCGGCTTGACCTCCAGGACAACGTGCTGAAGGTGATCCCTCCAGCTGCCTTCCAGGCCCTGCCCCACCTGACACACCTGGACCTGCGGCGCTGTCAGGTGGAGCAGGTGGCCGAGGGTGCCTTCCGTGGCCTGGGCCGCCTGCTCTTCCTCAACCTGGCCTCCAACCACCTGCGTGCGCTGCCCCAGGAGGCCCTGGACGGGCTGGGCTCGCTGCAGCGGCTGGAGCTGGAAGGGAATCTGCTGGAAGAACTGCGCCCAGGGACGTTCGGGGCCTTGGGTGCGCTGTCCACGCTGAACCTGGCCCACAACGCCCTGGTCTACCTGCCGGCCATGGCCTTCCAAGGGCTGCTGCGGGCTCGCTGGCTGCAGCTGTCCCACAACGCGCTCAGCGTGCTGGCCCCCGAGGCCCTGGCCGGCCTGCCGGCCCTCCGCCGCCTCAGCCTGCACCACAACGAGCTGCAGGCGCTGCCTGGGCCCGCCCTGTCCCAGGCCCGGGGCCTGGTGCGCCTGGAGCTGGGCCACAACCCACTCACCTACGCAGGCGAGGAGGACGAGCTGGCGCTGCCCGGCCTGCGGGAGCTGCTGCTGGACCACGCGGCGCTGCAGGCCCTGGGCCCACGGGCCTTCGCGCGCTGCCCCCGCCTGTACACCCTGGACCTCCGCGGGAACC